CCGGGCACGGTCACCGCACCACCGTCCATTGCCGGGAGCTGGTCCATCCTTGCTGTTTCAAGGGACCTGGCATATATGGAATACTGTTCTTAATATGTTTGCTCACCTTCTTGGCGCTTTGTTTTAACCAAGGTCACCTCTCCGAGAAAGGTTGTTTCCCTACCATCTCGGGCAGACACTGGCTAGACCAATAGGACCATTAAGAATGGAGTGACTTCTCCAAGTTGTATTTTGGAAAAAAACACAAAACGTGACAAAGACAAGATGACATTCTAATCATTCTTGTTGGAGGGTGCCTCTTTCTCTGGCTTTGTTGTCCTAAATTGCCTTTGTGGTCAGAGGACTTCCTCTCCACCAGAACAGAAAGGTGAAGACTTCCCTGCACCCTCCCAAAGCCAGGAGGAAAGGCAGTCATCGGGCCAGGAGACGCGCTGAGTCTCAGTTACTAGATGAGAAAAGGACGCCCAGGGGCTGGGTCCTCGGCTGCGTGCTTCCCAAGCAGAAAGGCGCGTGTTGGCAAAGGGCAGCATCCTGCTGCAGGGTGGGGTCTGCTGCATCTTGGAGGCGTGATGAGAGTACCACGGGAGTTGGAGGAGAAGGGAGTGGATGCTGAGCGCTGACATAACCAAGGGGCTCCCCCAGCGTGCAAGCGTTTCACACCAGACCCCATCCCAAAAGGCTCTTCAGAGCCCTGGGTTCAGTCCACGCGGTGTGGTCACCACTGCTGCAGCCTCCCTGGGCGTGCACAGATGCTTCCCAGAGCAGACATCTGTCTGCAGCCGCTGGGACGCATGTTGCCAGCAGATTGCTGTGATCCTGTGGAACAGACAAGAGGCTTAATCCGGGCAGCGGAGGAAACGGACGTAAATGAAGAACTGAAAGTCTCCAAGACCATTTGGCCTGGCTTCTACTGGTTCTTCAGGGTGCCTTTGACAAGTAGTGGCAGAACAGGGTTGAATAGGTCATTCTCTGGACAGATTCCCAAGCCCCCAGAGTCCCGAGTGCTGAAGGAAGAGGCAGACACAGGCGGGCAGTGTGTCTCTAAGGTTGTCCTTTGCCAGCTGAGTAATGTGTGCAAGCGGCTGGACCTCCCTCAGCCTGTGTGCCCGCCTGTGAGGTGGGTCTGACAGTAACTCCTACGCCACTGATGTGGGATTGAAAGAGCGACACGAGGGGAGCACTCTGTCTTGCATGTGGGGTTCCCGTGAAAGTTGCTGTTTGAACAGAAGGCCTCGCTGCCTTTATGCTCACACCTTTCTCCGGGAGTGATGGCAGGGAGTGAGCACGCGCCCAGCGAGGGTCACCTCTCTGAAGTCTTCAGTCTGCGTGTCTCTCTCCTGTCCATTCACTGATGGTAACGGCACACTTTTGATTACATATGGAGCCGCTCACACGATTCCTTGTTGTTGGACACAGCGACTCCGGGGGTGTGGCGCAGTCCCTGGTGTCCCTGCGTGCCCGCACATGGCCCTCTCGGTGTGTCTCCCACAGGCTGACAGGGTTCGGGATCCACCACTGCTTCGCAAGGAGCATGATGGGCCACGAGGTGAAGGTGCCACTGCTGGAGAACTTCTACGCCGACTACTACACCATGGCCAGCATCGCCCTGGCCTCCTGCCTGGCTATGTGTGTGGTGGTCAGGTTCCTGGGGCGCCGGGGCGGGCTGCTGCTCTTCATGATCCTCACTGCCCTGGCCTCCCTCCTGCAGCTCGGGCTCCTCAACCGTGAGTAGAGCCGGGGGAGTGGGATGGGCTGTGAGGCGGGGGCGGGGCCAGGTGAAGGGGCAGGTGTACGAAAGGGCTGGTGGGACTTGAGACGAGTTTTCAGTGACCTGGTATTCCAAAATCAGCAGCTCTAACAGCTGTGCATGGTGACTGCCTTCTCTCCTCTCCCTCCCCAACCCTGGGCTCCCACTCAGAGCCGCCCTGACTGCACCTACGTGGCCGCGGCTTCACTAATGGCCAGACTATCTCTATGACAGCACCTGACGGAGAAGAACAAGGGCTTGTTTCTTCCCTGTGAAATGAAGGGGGAAATAAATGTTGACACTCTTGCGTTGGGACACTGCTTTTCAGTAGATAGCCCCAAGTTCCTCAGCTTGTCTTTGGGCCAAAGAATTTCTCAGTAAATGTTCAAATGATTTAAAGGAACCCTGGGGAATCCATGTGGCCCCTGCAAGTATAAGAAGGCAAGCTCAGAACAGCGCCATATGAGCCAAGGCCCACCTCCATGCGTGGAAGGAGCCACAGGCATCTCTCTGGCCTGCTCACAGTGAGACGTGAGTGAGCCAGGCAGCTGAGCCCTCCTCTCACCCGTGCCCGGCCTCCTGGGACAGCTCGGACACTGTGGGGACACAGATGCCATGAGGAGAGCCGCCAGGCTGTGGGGACTGGGCTCGGGACCCTCGTGCACCGAGGGTCAGAGCCTCTGGTATGTCAGGTGTGCGGGATGTGGCCGAGACACGCGTCAGGGTCCAGAACGGAAGGAAGCGAAAGAAAGCTCACAACTTCCACAGCCTGTATACAAACTGGGTTAGAGAATAGCTGGTTTCGGCCTCACAAGGCAGTTTTCTAAGGGCAGGTCCTGTGCATCCTGCATCTCGCTGGGGACTGGTCTTTGTTTCAGCTGTGACTGACAAGGGACCGGAGAAGTGTTGTCTGCCTCTCAACCATCCTGTCCCCGGTGGGGCTGCCCGAGCTGCCCTCCCAGGGAGTGGGCGTTCCAGGGGATGTGCAGCAGCAGCCCGGGACGTCACTGTGCTCTCTTCCCTGAGCAGGAAGGAATGCCACAGCAACTTTGTGCAAAGGACAAGTCGTCTGAGGATCAGACTCAGAGCATAATGCCCCTGGCGGTGGCCTGGCCGCAGCGGAGGCTCCCTGAGCACAGGCCAGCAGTGACAGGGCTCGTGCGCAGCGGAAGTAGTGCTTGGCTCAGGCCAGGGAGTGAGCCAGAGTCGGTTCCGAAGGGTGCAGGCTTCTCCCCAGGATGAGGCCAGTGAGACTTTAGCCTGCCCTTCCCAATAGGAAGAGTTTTGTTTAGCCGAGTGCTAATTCCAGTGCCTGGGACTGTCCCACAGGCCTTCTCCATCTCTCTATCTCTCTGGCCCAGACCTGCAGGGAATTCACTGAGATTCCAGCCACGTGGAAACACACAGTGGACTTGCCTAACGTGCTTTCTTTCTCCCCCTTTTCCCGCTCCTTTGTCCTCGTGCGCGTGCTGCCATCATCCCTGCGGCCCAGTGATTGGGAAGTACACCCAGCACCCAGACTCAGGTGAGCCCCACGTGCTTGTGCGTGCGCGTCGTCATCTTTGTACTGCATCCAAACGGGCAATTTCATAAACACTCACACGCCTGTGTTTTCCCTCTCCTGTTTCTCCTCCTCCTTTACCCTCCAAGAGTTGCAGCTGAAGTTGGCCGTAGGTTGGACACTATAAGCATACATCTGTGTTCTCTACTCCCTTTGCTTCTAGAAAGAGCTGCTCATCCTCCTGTTTGTGCGCAGTCTGCACGCATGCTCTCGCCTCTTCCCCTGGCACCGGCACCGGCAGTCAGCATAGGCCTCAGCTGCCACCCACGCAGAGATGCAGAGTGTCTTAGGGACAGTGCTGGGCGAGATCAGAACGCCCGAGGGTGTTGGAGGCCTGGCTGACCGTGCTGCCAGCGGAAGCTGCTGTCTGCTTGTGAATGAGTCTCGCGGGCTTGTTGCTCTTCGCGCGGGGACGGCAGCGCCACCGCCGTGCACCGCAGTGCTGCTGGTCACACGTGCCTAGCCTGACCCGAGCCCATGCCCCTGGGCCCTCCACGGGGAGAGCCTGGGTCCCCGTGCAGCCTCACAGGGAACTGAGCTCTGCCCGGCGGCCCACTATTGCTTCACGCTAGACGCCACCTTGGCATGAGGTCAGACTCTAGTGCCATTTGCAAGATGCTTGAGCCCTTGCAAAGGGTTGGTTGAGCCCTTTCCTTCCAGGCCCATAAATTTTTCTGTTTGGATTATTTGAGTTTTTGTTCCTTTAAATCAAGCCTTAGATATCCTGCCCTGTGTATTGGCCTGGGCAAAATTAAGGCCCGAATAGCCAGGGCTCTCTGAGTGTGGGCACCTTTCTATGGAACAATATGGAAGGCTGGGACAGAGTGGACATTGCTGTAACCCTGAGACCGCCAGCCTCCCTTCCTGCCAGGCTGGCTCAGCCTGAGGCACCCAGCAGTCCGCGTGTGCCCCAGCCCTCAGGACCCAGCAGGAACCCGGCAGTCTGCCCAGAGGGTCTGACCTCCTGCCTCTGGGCTGCTCCTCCCTCTGCAGAGGGACTGAGCACCCTGGTCTGCACCCCAAAAGCAGAGAGGGGAAGAGGGAAGTCCCTTCATGCATCCCAGGCCTCCCTGCTCCCCTCTGCCCTGCTCTCTCCGCCCCAGCATGACTAGCTTCCTTTCCCCTTCCCTCTGCCCCTCCTCACTAACCCTTTCTGATTGCCCTTCAGGTATGAGCGACAGTGTCAAGGACAAATTCTCCATCGCGTTTTCCATCGTGGGCATGTTTGCCTCCCACGCAGTGGGAAGCCTCAGTGTGTTCTTCTGTGCAGAGATCACCCCCACAGTGATAAGGTGAGTGGTGGGAGATGCCCCGCAGGATGTGTTCCTGGGACCCTGGAGGGCTGCCCATTTGGCAAGGCTCGGAGTGAGTTCACAGCTCAGCTTTGGCCGGCCCTGGCCTCGGGCAAGGGTGATGCAGGTGCTGAGCAGTGAGCTTAGTGAAGAGGCATGCCACCCTGACCTGAGGCAGCTGAGAATCAGGTGAGAACTTGATCCTGGGCTCTGCCAGGCTGCAGTCTGAGGAAGAGGAGGAGGGGGAAGAAGAGAAGGAGGAGGAG